ATATATATGGATTTGCTCAAATTATTCAATAGCTAATGGAACAAATCTCTAGCCATTTCTTCTTCTTCATACATTGGATTCAGATTCGTCAAATTGAATTCTCAATCCTTTCAGATTTGTTGTAATCACTCTCATAACTAAAATCACTCAAAAACGTTCTCTTTTTGTCAGTCTCTCAATCTCTACTTCTCATTTCGATCACTGCTTATCAACGTAAACATTCATCGTGTTACATATGATTTCTGATTGTTCTTTTCAACATTATCTGTGACGAACGATTAGAAAGCAATAATCCAAATGTACTGAATAGATTTTATTCATCAACCATAATTGGTTTTGGTATTCAATATCGCTAGAATTTTGCATGGAGCAATTTTATTCCAGAAAGAGGTATTTTTTCGTCTAAATCAGGTCATGAACAATCGGTGTGTTGTGAAATAGTGTGTGACATTAAATTTTGAAAAAAAGAGCGTACGGAGATAAACTGAATGTGAAAACCGCATAATGTTGCAATGACTGCATAAAATTCCCTCTTCCTTCTTGATCAAACGTAACCGAATTAAATATTTTATTGTTAGCGAATATAATCCTCTTTTCAACAGTGAATAAATTCTTCATTCGTTATGAGTGACTGAAAATTTTAGCTGAAAAAACAGAAGAGTTCAGAATTTCGCAATTCGTACAAATCTTTTCATCGATTAATAGACTTCAACGACCACGCTTACCAGATGTTAATAAACCAGATGAATAATAAACGTTCTCAAATTCTTCAAAATGAAGCTGAACATCTAAAAATCGAATAAAAAATTGCTATTAAAATGAGAAAACAATATGATAATGCGGAATTTCCGTTTCCTTTCAATATAATCAAACAATGAAATAATAATAATAATGGATTAAAGGATTCAATAAGATAATGAAAGATAAAAGCAACTGATGATTTATCAAAATCTGACATATTTATGAGTGAGTGTTCATCTCACCTTTTTCTGCGGAAAATTCTTTCTTAATGTCAATACTGATGGTGATTATAACAATCATTATAAAAATAAGAGTGATGAAGTAATCCAACGATAGTAACATGATATGATCCACTAATAATTATCACTAGAATAGCTGTTGTAAAACGATTGATCTTAATAATCATAACAGCAAACCTTTAATCATTTAATCAGTGATTGGAACTCATTGAAAGCTTATGCTCCAGCACAAGTTTGGGCCTTATGCTTATCATAATTAGCCCCTATGATTAGAAATCTTTACTCTCTGACTTGCTTAAACTTCGTAAACATCTTCCATTTCCATGGATTTCTGATTCCTATTATTGATCCGGTGATCGAAGTGTTCTAGGCATAATAATATCATGCAGATGGTTTATGCTGTCCTCAATAAACTGCTGTCTGTATCACCATCAACCTAAGTAGTTGACGATAACCGCACGTAAAATATTTTCGCATGCTGATCATCTATCGTGATTGATAGAATGTTCATTTTAATAAATTTCAGCGAACACCTCACAAAAGTACTGCAATCGTTCCGGCCTATCACACTAGTCCATATCAAGCGTTTTGGCCTCGGCAAGTTCACCAGCAACAGCAGCAGCAGCAACAGTATTATCATCAGTATCAGCAGTACCAGTATCATCAGAACCACTATAATCCCGCTCCATGCACTGGCACTACTGGTAATACAATTGGCCCTCCTGCTCATTATCCAGCCTTAAGTGCTGGTTATCACGGTTCGTTTTCTACAGTTTTGTTATCATTTGCATCTATCTCCGTTAGAACAGATACATTCCATTCTTGCTTCCCTCAAAGTTCGTCAAAGATGAATCAAAAAAACGGATAAATGGTCTTAATAATCCCCTCTCCATGGGCATGGAATAAGGAATGATTAAGATCGGAATGTTTTCAAAAGATTATTTAGAAAAACCAAAAATGGACTTAGTTATGCCTGTGCAATAAGTTTATCACTGTTTGCGATTACCCAACAGTTAATTTCATGATATGTCGGGAGAATAAAATATTTATACATCAAGCAAATTCAGTTTTATCATTGATCTGGACAGATCACTTTTTGATTATCTCTTATCGTAAAAATTCCATGTTTTCAAACCAAGTTAATTAAGCGTTTTGAAGTGCAGCGATAAGGCAGTTATTGTTGAAGTTGCAGGATATTATCAACAACACTATCAGCAACGGTATCCATTGAAACGTATGCACAGTGGCAGTAGTTTTTGTGCGGATACCTTAGCAACAGCAGCCACACTAGCAGCAATGAACGCCTTTCCGGTAGTGAATCAAAGTCAGTCTCCGAAATTCATCTCAGACCATCACAAGTATGTACCCGCCTCTGAAAGAATTTCCGGATTTGAACCAGAGCAATGGAACAAGGTGAACACATTTCGCTTATAGTATCTGATCAAAATGATCAAAATCTGACTAAATTGCTTGATTTTATTGGGCACTATTCATGGAATTTGAATTCAGTTCGTCCCATCTTTCATCCTGAATT